AAGCTGGGTGTCTGTGCTGGAGCGTCAGGTATGACTGGGTCAGGAGAATGATGCTCATCCTGACGAGGCTCGTGGACATATAGTGGCGACCCTGCTGGAGAGTGATGTGGTAACTCCTCTGCTAGAGGCTCATGCTCTAAATCTATGTCCATATGTACGGCAGCCGAATCGACTGCTGGATCATCCGCTGCTACTGGTGCGTCTGCCTCTGCTGCCGCTGCGGCTGCTGCTGCCTTCTCCTCAGCCGCCTCCTCTGCAGTTATGAGGGCATCCTCTTGTAGGCTCTTAATCAGGTTTGAATGGTTTGGACATCCAAATTATCATGTTTGAATGGTTTGGACATGTCCTTAGCTAGTAAATTACTATTGTTTATTACTGGTGCTAGGTGTTTAAGATTCCTCATATTGTTAAGGTGACTTTGAAGTTTAGATAACTTGAAGACATTACTAGAGCTTTTACTTGCAAATTAATTTAGGAATATCAGATGTGTAAGTGTTGTTTATGGATGGCTAGATTAAAGAACAAATATACTAGTTTTTCTTATTAAATAGTTTGCCCTCAATTTCACAATCTGGGATATATAGTGTTAGATTTACCAAAAAAACAATTGCACCGGTCAGTAGCATTATTGATAATGAATTTTGGAATTTATCTCATCCAATTATCCAAATTATTTCACACTACAACAACTCAAAATTTTCATTCTATCCATTATGTTGAACTCAAAATCGAAGCTATGAGTTGAGAGTTTCTCTCTATTGTTTTTCTTTTTCAAAACAACATATATATCCATTATAGTTGAAGATGAAATATGGGATAGGTTGAACAAGGTTAGTAATTTAAAGATAATATATTTATCACGTACTAATACATCCATAATCTTCTAGGTTAAATTTACTATTTAGTTCAAAACCACATACATATTCAGTTTATTTGTTGGTAATTGTTATCACTGCTTGCTGTTAATGGCCACTTAGTATGAAAAAAGGTGAACATGTCCATTTTTCTGCTCAATTTTAAGTTTTCACTGCTTTCCGCAAATAGGAATTTTTTTTTTTTTTATTTTTATTTTTGTGACAATTCATGTTGATTATGACTTGAAAATGAGGAATTTAAAAGTGGAGGGGTTACTGAATTGGATTGGTTGGTCGTTGTTTACGGTGTCTATGCTGTTTCAGAATATTTATAAAATGTTGTAACAAATATTTTTTTTTTATATTTTGCTTCTTGTAATAAATACTACAATTCAAATATTTTTTCATTTTGTCTCTTAAGAAATAGTTAATTGAAGAACTATGTCTACATAGATCAGATTTATGTGCAATATTAATGGCAGAAACAAAATAGTATGGGACAATGATAAGTTTTCTTTTTAAGATGGCATGGTAGTGCTGGAAAACTAATTTCAACACAGTCTAATGGTATCCCTTGTCTTGGAGTGGGTGCAAACAAAGGGTCTCAACAACATGTTGTATTATATATTAGGAGAATAAGGTCCTAGTAAAAGACTTTCTCTCTCTACACCTCTTTCTCTCGCCTCTCTTTAAACCCAATCGTCCCCTTGGTTTTCTCCCTCTGTTTTGCTCCCCACCTCCTCCCATGGAGGTGGGGAGGTGCCGATCCCCGCCTTTCACCGCCTAATAAACTCGGCTTGTTGTACATAGTCGTTCAGTGGGTGGGTTTTTTATGCCCTTTTTTGTTGTTGTTTTGTTAGCTCTGCTCCTGTTAGGCTTGTTTCTGGCTTTACAGGGTAGATATGCTTTTTGTTTTCCAACTAGATCTCCGATATATGTGTGGGTTTTGTGGTCCCCGCCTCCGTGTGGCTTTTGTTGTCCCTACCTCTTGTGCGGGGTTTGGAGGGTTTCTTCCCCGTCGGCGGCGTCTTGTGAATGCAGTCTTGGAGCAGTTGCCTTGATGATGGCCTGACTTGTGGGTCACTTCTGTTATTGCTTTCCTCCCTTGGTAGTTTCTGATGGTGTTTGTTTATCAGCAAATCTGGAGCCTATTCTTCAATTTTAGTCTCTTGCTTTATAATTTGTTTATTGTTGTACGGCCTTATGGCGCTCTTTGTAGATGCTGTATGACTATTTTTCTTATTGCCAGGGTAAAAAAAATATTAGGAGAATCATTATTCCTCCAGTAATATGAAAAGAAGGGGCATTGCAATTGCATCTATCACTTGTGTTACAAGCTAAGAGCATCTCCAGCAATCTGTTAAAATACTTTTTTGTGTAAAATATACACTGTGTGATGTGCAATTTTTTTTTTTTTTAAATCTTTAACAGTTTATTAAGATATACTGTCATATCATCAATGTGTAACTTGTTATGTATTTTACACAACCTTTTTACACAGACATATCAATATATTTCCTTTCTCTTCCATCTTTCTCATTCCATTAAGGAATCAACCCTATATTAAGTAAGTTTGTAAAAATTATATAGAACTCAGGCATGACACTGATTGGTTATTATTGGAGGATATATTTTTGCACAAAAGCTATAAAACAACCGCTTAAGTTAAAAATAAATAATTAAATTTTTTTTTGTGTAAATTTATTATGACACGTCATATATACAAAAAAAAAATATATACACAATGATTGAAAATGCTCTAATGATGCATCATATCACCTATTTTTTTCTTGCCAATTCTCAAGACAAGTTAGGAACTGATTTTCCAACTTTATGTCATGGAATTTGGATGGCATTTATTATTTACACCAACTATTGTTCTTACTTTTAACTCCAATTCATTGGTTCACAGAATCAGTAGGAGACTGATTCTAACCATTATTTGGCACACCTGGGAACAGAGGAACTCTAGAATGCATGGAAGTGACTCTTCATTGATCGTTTATAAAATCATCTCATTTTAGAAAAAAATAAATTTCAATGGGATTTAAGATATTAGGAATAAGTAAAATTTTTGCTTACATTAACTTCAAATTTTTCCTAAAATTTTTGCTCAAGTGTTAATGTCCAATTCAATTTCAATCCTTTCGCTTATAAAAATAATGTTATTAATCACATTGATTTTTCAAATAAGCATTGACATTGATAGTATTAAACCACATTATTCAACATTCAATTTTAAAATAAGAATTACAATTATAGTCTTAAACCACATATTTATATACTCACATTTTCTATACTTTAAATCAATTTTTTAAATTTTATTCTAAGTCTTTTAGAAAGAAAAAAAAGAATGTGTAAATAAATTTTCAAACCATATCCAAAATTGTACTATTATATAAAAATAATAATGTATTAATATATTTTAAATTTTAATAACAAAACAAAAACAATAATGTCTTAATATTTTACCAAACAAGTTTCTTGTTTTTGATTTACCAATTTTGGCAAAAGTCGAACTTGCCAAATATGTTTTGTTTTTAAATTTCTTGAAACAAAAAATGTTGCCAAATATGTTATACATGTTTCTGCTTTCGAAATTCCTACTCCAAATTTGCATTGCCAAATATATTTTCGTTTTTAACCTACAATGCTTTACAACAAAACACTCATTTATTTTATTTCGGGATAAAATAAAAAACATTATAACAACGCGTACCAAATAAAAGGCACAGTATAACCAAACGGCTAATTTTGTGCCAAAAATTATAACGGTCGGGGATGCATTTGTTATATATATATATACCTGTCAATCACAACCTGTGAAATACAAGTTAAATAATGTATAAAGGGCAGATTGCAGCCAATTGTAGCGTCACACCCAAAAAAACATTGGTAAGTAATTCAGTTTTCAAATTTATTTATTTGTCAAAAATTGATAAGTATTCCAGTTGTCAAAAAAAGATACATACTCATGTACTTAAGCTTTATGATACATTACACATACTTTTTACAATTAAAAGACTTAAACATGTCTATTGTTGATTTTATAATAATACTCTTTCATGGAGTGCTACTATATAATTTATAAGAGCATTCAATATTTTATAAAATAGGAGTAAGGGTTTAATAGAGGGATACCATTGTTTTAAAAGTTAAAATTTTTAATTTCATTCAATAGGTCTACTAATCTAAAAATTTAATATTTAAAAGTACTCTTTTTTACTTCCAAACGCGTTTAAAAGAAAATTTTGAAAATAAAGACACTTTCAAGTTTAATAATAATCTCAAACATGATTTAACAACTCAATTTATTTTTCTTCATAAATTTTGTTAGGATATTTGTGATACATTAAACCTACTAACAAAAATTGGTTAGTGGGATTTGGCGCCATGTGGTGCCATTTTGTTGTTGGCGGAGCCATTTTGTGGTTGGTGTTAATTGAAGGGTAGGATTTGTTTTAGGCATTTCGTTTTTGGTTAAAACATAAATAGTGTTTTGAAAAAAAAATTAGAAACATGTTTGGGAACGATATTTTAGGCGTTTTGTTTTTGGCTTGTGTTACGCTACTGTTATGATTTTGAATTATGAATAATTGTCAAAATAAGAAAAAATAACTTTTTTGTGTTTTGGTCTTAGGCCACTGTTCATGAACTGTGTAGCACGGTGTAAAATAAAATAAGGCTACACCAACCATGCTTTTGTTGCCAAAATTGACATTGTATTTCAAAAAAAAAAAAAGCAGAAACAAAACACATGTCAAATGGGACTGAATTTTCAATAATTTTAATATTTTACAATAAAAATAATTTAAATATTGAAAGCAATGTCGTATTTTTCAACTAGGCTTATATATTTGGATCATTTATAAAAAATGGAGAATTTGTTGTCCTTGGCTATTGGCTATTAATATGGCAAATCTACTAAGGGCGTCACTCTAATTTACCCAAAAACATACGTTCAAGTTTTTCGTTTTTTTTTGGAAAATAAAGCAACTGACATAGAGTTAAAAGTATTTACAAAGTTTGTCCCCGAAGCCCAAATACAAAGGATAAACAGGCCCAAATGGGCAACAAGGCACAGGCCCATTCAAAACAAAGTGACTCATAGTAACTGACATTAGCAATGAGAACACTTTAGAATCAGTAAAAGCTAAGTAAAGCAATCTGGAGGGCGAGGAGGTGGTCTACAGCACGACGGAGGGAGGTTCCATTCTAAGAGGATTGATCTTGAGAGGCTGTGCAATCCTTTAGAAATCCCAGTCTCAGAATTGAGGTGATGGAGTAAGTGATTTTGGCTAGAAGAGTTCTTTGTGAGCAGCTTCCCTTCTTGAAGATTCTACTGTTGCGTTCTTCCCAAGTGTGATAGACAATTGAAGAGAGACAGATCTTCCTAACCAAAATTTGTGGAGAATTGGACTTCCACATGAAACTTACCAGCTGCACCAACATGCTCCAGGCACACACACTCACCGGCACTCTCTCTTACACACACAAATTGGGTCTTTCTCTATACGCATAAACTCACACAGGCACACACACTTCTGATCACAACAATTTCGCGAATCGAACAATGAGTAAAGAAGAGTCGTCGCAGTGCGAGGGAAAGACTCTGGACCTTTTGAACCAATTCGAGCTCATATTGGAAGCTGATCCTTTAATGTAAGTCATTTTTATTTGTTCCATTCATTTTCAAGTTAAGGATTTGTGATCATATCTGTAAGTTTCAGTACTTGATTTGAAGGTTATGATTTGTTGTTATTCCGATTTTGAAGTCTATAGAAGGGTTTGTGATCATCTCTACAAATTTCAGTGCATATTAAATTAGAGTTACAGACTCAGTAATTGATTGGTTTTTAAGAGATTGTGATGCTTTCTTCATTCATGTCTGCCACTTATTATTCTCTATATTCCTTTGATTTCTTATGCTTAAACACAGTTTGATCCCTTACTAGAGAATGTGATTTTTTAGTTAGAAGATCAGAGAGTTGAATCAGGGGGAAAGTGGCTGTGGAGGTCTATGGTTGTATCTGAGAGAGATAATGTTAGAATAGTTGTGGGTCTGTTGCCTTTAAACATGGGGAATTTGGGGGTACGGGAAGATATTGGGTACGCCAAGCATACCATGTCAGTTTATTTATTTATTTATAATAAGTGCACGTCTTGGTAATACCCAACCAATGAAAATGCACCATATCAGCTTCTTGTTAGCATTTTTTACACCTAGGACAACTCTGTAAAAATTTGTCCCGTGTAAAAATTGCTGACAAGAAGCTCATATGGTGCATTTTGATTGGGTGGGTGCACCAATAACGTGGTATGACTGGCGCACCCAAACCCATGTAACACTCGTACTAGCTCTGGCACCCCTTGTACTCCTCAAAACCACAACCATTGATCTTGAGTTAACCATATTCCAAAGAGGAAAGAAAAGGGGCAATGAACCCCTAGCTACTGCAAAATTAAGCTGAAGGTGATTAATTTTTTTCCTCAGCTCCCTTTCAGATGGCACACAATTAGGGGAAACTTTTTCACATACTCTTGTTAATTTTTTTCTCCCGAAGAATTATACACTAGTGGTGCACATAGAAACTTTCTATCTGAATTTGTTGCTTCTCAATGGTTAAGAGAGCTTTGATGTATATGAAATTTAGAATCCCATATAGATGAAAGGTAATTAGTATTTCATTGTTTACAGCCGATTTTCTCTGCGTCGTTGTCATTTATATTACAAAATCCTGTTTCACTAAGCAAGTTCTAGGACGCAGCATCCTACTTTTATTTATTTTTTTAATTTTTTTAACTTTTAACTCAACAGGCTAATCATTTATCAAATGCATGTTAAAATATTATTGGACAATTTTGTAGTATATAAATGTGTGTTTGTGTGTGTGTCTATTAGTGGTTTTATTATTTTTATTTTCTGCTTTCGCCTGAGATCTATAAGTGACTTTATTTATGTATTACCTGTCTTCTTTATGTGCTATAAATTTAGATCGTCTTTCACTCTTTTGGTCCTGTTAGTCCTGCTGATGATATTTGGTTCATTGTGGGTAGGAGTGCAATTTTTCATTTAAAAGTTGTTATAAGTCTTTCTATGGTGTTGTAGTCCCACTAAATATTTTATTTTTCTTTTTTATTTACACCTAGTGATGAAGTGGGGTTTATTCATCCATCCCAATTTGTTTCATTAAATGAAGAAGCAGGCGGTCCCCTCCTCTCATCTGTTGGAACTGTGTTTCAGTCAGCAGATGGTATCGTGAGATCAAAAATATCCGAAGCTAATTCTTCAGATACAGTTTTCTGGAGTAGAGATCATAAGTTGGGCATTTCAACCCAGGTTCTCTTTCCGTTATATAACACGGCCAAACATGCATTTATGGTTGCACTTGAACAATACAAGACACGTATTAACTTGACTGTAGAGAAAGATGAATCCAGTGAGAAAAATGGGTTAACTTGCTATTCAGCTTCCTCAAACATCCTCGAAAGTGAAGTTATGAAGCACAGCAGGGCTCTTTTGTTGCTAAGCAGTGATTTTGGAACTGCATGGAATTCCAGGTTGTTCCCTATCTGTAATCTGTTTTCTGCCAACCGCTTTATTCTTTATTCTTCGTTTGTATTATATATGGTGCTAATTATGAAAGTTCAGGGCAATTCTCTTGAAATGTTTGTAAGCATTGGTCTTAGTTGATGAACTGAATACTCTAGTAATGCCATCTATTGGTACACTTACTAGTAGTCTGAATGTGTAGCTTTGCATTTGTAATTTACCAACCAATGCTCCAAACCTTATCCAAGCCTATCTAATCCATTTTTGAAGGAAGGTTGGTATACAAAAAATATCAGTATGATTTTTGGTTTTTATTCTTTTGTATAATTACGGAGCCTTCATTTTCCTCCCACCTTTAATAGAATGAGGAGTTCCAGTGAGAGCAAATGCTAGGTCCGTTCTCAGCACGCATGCTATCAGTCTGATTCTTGTATGAGATCATATGCTCTCCATTGGATGGATGGAAAGTACGAATGGAGGAGCCTCTACATAGACTACGTCCTGGATATTTTTATGAAGTAATTATGGGCAATTTATTAGATCCCTTTTATTTTAAAACCATGTTTACGATTTTAGGGGTGATCATGACAAGGTATTACTAACGGATGATGAGATTAATTAATGATGCAGGAGACATTTTCTTAGATTATTTAATTATAAGCATACAAGGAATTTAAGTTATCACTAATACGAATTACATATTCTCTTAAAGGATTAGGGCAGGTGAGGTAAAAGAGGCTAAATGGATAAATGGAAAAGATTGTAGGACCCAAATCACTATTGAAGCATTGAAGTGTTTTGGTGATGATACAGCAGTTTGGTTACATGTAATTGTTTAACAAGAGTTTACAGGATAAGAAGATACCTGATGGAAGAAAAACACCTTGTTGTCTATATATAAGAACAAAGGGTTCATCTATATATAAGAACAAAGGGTTCAACGCCGCAATATTTATCGTGATATTAAATTATGAATTTTTGTGTTTATACAATACATTTTTGGAAAGAATAATTGCGCCAAGGTTATGACATTAGACAACAGTACCTGAAAAGCACTCTGATCCTTCGTGCAGGAGATTTACATGGGTACTATTTTCCTACCAAAACTAGTATTAACGAAAAAAAGAAGAAGAGAAAATCGAAAGACCTCCATATGGAATTTATTGACTGTTGAAAAGCATATGATAGGATTCTTAGGAAGAGTGTCAGTTTGGAGGGTTTTAGAAAATAAAAGAGTATCAGTTATATGTACAAAATATAATTAGGGATATTTATGATGAAGTTGTAACTTTTAAAAGTAGGAGGAGAGAGAAGTTTAAAAATGGCCATTACCAGTGCAAGTTCATAGGGTGCTAGGAGAGGAATACTAGAGACAAACCTAACTTTTCACATTATTTTTTATGAAGTGGGTGCTCTCAGCCTTGAACCAGCTTACTAGTACTCTCAGCCTGATCTTTTACCATTGCACCAAACAAGGAACCGTTATATTTTTAGTTAGCTGTAAATGAACTTGTAAGGTGTTCAAGAGGATATCCGGCTGTGTATGTTGTTCGCTGATAGCATGGTTTTAATAATTAAAACTGGAGTATGGGTAATTTAGTAAATATAGAGAGATGTTCTAGAATCTAAAAGTTTGAGGTTGAGTAATTATAAAAAAAAAAAAATGTTTAGGTTGAGCAAGACCTTAGGGTATATATATTGTAATTTTAGTAAAGTTAAAATTCTAAAGTGAGGAGATGCATCATTTCAGATTTTCAAAGTTTTAAGGAGGTAGCAGGAGTCTGAAATTTTGGTACCTGGGAAAAGATTTGTCTGAGGCTTGTCTGTAGAGCAGTAAATCTCTATGTACCTTTTGGTAGTTTTTTTTAAAAACCTTTTGGTAGTTTGTTTCCCCTCTAATTAACAGAATGCGGTTGGCTGCTTGCTTTGATTGATGGAACATGAAGGTGTTTAGTTCCAGAGTATTACAGAGATTCTTACATGTGCAAGGACCAAATGGTTTTCTTCTTCTTCTTCTTCTCCTTTTTTTTTTTTTTTTTTTTGTGGTTCCTAACAAGAATTTTATAGTTTCTTTCCTAATCATTCCACACACACACACACATATATCTCAAAATTTGTTGACTTATCCACCATCCTTCATTAGGTTTACATTGCTTCCAACGCTATTTATTGAGTCAAATTGTTTAACATAGCGGTTCAATCTGAGCTGCGATACAGGTCAAGTGTTGCTATGTCTGGCACAGCAAAAGAGCCAGGATAGGAGTGTCTTGTTACTGTCGGATGGAAATGTTTACATGAGATCTGGATGATCTGGCCCATGGAAGTTTTGTGGCATTTATTTTACCTGCATGGGATCTAGTCCTTGAATAACTTGGAACCATGTTTTCTATTGCTGTTATTTGACATGATACTATAGAATATGTTTTCAATCTATCACCAATTGTGATTATGACACTTTGTTATATGTTGTTTATATATTGCAGGAAACTACTTTTGTCTAACAACCAACATTATCTGACTATGATTGATGAACTCCTCTTGTCATCGTTGGTTCTTTCATATTCACCAAAAAGTGAAAGTGCTTGGAGCCACAGGTAGCATTAGTAAGGGTCTTTTTACACTTTTGTAAGCAAAATAGTGATGAAAGCTTGTCTTTTTAGTGGTGTCCCTAGTGATGAGAAAGAGAATATTTTTTATGACAGAAAAAAGATAACTAATTTTGACTCCATCAGGACAAAATAAGACTAATTTTTCATATTTATTGATCTGTTTCACTTTTGTGAGATGTATGATTTGATTTGTTTAATGATGATCCCAGATAGATATGTATTGAAGTCATTTCTTATAGTTATCTTATGTTTCCATGGTTCATCAAACCCAATTCTTATTAATGTCAATTATTGGTAGGCGGTGGGTGATCAAGATGATTGCTGGAAAGTGTTCAAATCTGCAAGAGATTGTGGAAAAAGAATCTGAGTTAGTGAAAAAGATAGCGGAGGTTTAATTTCAGAGTGGGAACTGGTTTTATTATTGTTAGGCTTGTATATTATTCCTGAATAGTCTTCTACCTTTTTCCCTTTGTTTCCTTGAAATGATATTTTAGCTTCCTCTACTCCTATACTTCTTGAGTTGTTCTATATATATATTTATGTATTGTGTGTCAGAACTGAACTATTATTTGGGAAATTTTTGTGAATGTGATTATCTAGACTTTATTATTATTATTATTTTTATATAAAAAAATGTGATTAGCTAGAATGTAGCAAAGAACATCTAACATTTAAATGGAAAATAGATCATATCTGTTTGTGACATAGCTTTTTTGAGCTTAAATATTATTTGCTTTTGAAATGCAATATTTGTTTTTTTGAATGGTAAAGCAAATTTATTGATAAGAAGAGAAGAATGTGCTTTTGAAATGCAATTGCTTGTTGAATTTCTTGCAAATTTATTGATAAGAAGAGAAGAATATACTTTTGAAATGCAGTTAGTTGTTGAATTTCTTTTGATGTAGATATTACTTCATTTAACTCTTGTTTTCTAATCACATAAAGAAAATACTATATTGTGATCATTACTTGGAGATGATGAGTAAATCTGCAAGGGAACAACTTCACCAAATTTGCCAGATATAAATAGAACTACAAAGAGGAAAACATGGGAAGAGGGATGAGAGCATCTAAATCTGGAGGGTATTGTACCAGGTCACATGTATCTGGTTTGTTCAGTTGCATGTTTTCTAAGTTTACTGGAATTTGAGTTACAGATGCATCAGTGGCATCTTATAGATTATTTTTCAGGTTGGAATTCATTTGCTCTTTGCACTTGGTTGATGTTTGAAAGTGGCATACGTCCTGACAAGTAGCGATTGAGAAAACAATTATCTCCCACTTAAACTGAACATGTGAGAGATTGGGGTCCGTGTCTCTGGTTTGGACCATTTAATACCCTTTTGCGGCTTGAACTCGATATCAGGGTTCCTCTGGGTACGGTTCAAGTTCTTTTTATCATATAAGTTCATAGATTTTAAATTAAGAGGAAAGTTGGGGGGTCACTGGTTCCAATTTGGGTCATCCTGCACTGCTTTGGCTTTAACTCCTTTTGAAGGTTCTTCTGGAAACATGTTAAAGTTCTTTTAACCATATTAGTTACATGGGGAGCATGGCATTTACTTAATAAAGTCCATATAACTTCTAACCAAAAAATTCGTTCTTTATGAATCAAGTGCCATTCAAAATTTTGAAATCATAAAATTTGAACAATAATAATAATAATAATGTGCAGGGCTTGTAAACATCACCATAACGGAAAGTTTTAAGGTGATAAGTAGAAACAAATTTGTTTTGGATAGGGTTTTGGTATATTTAAATTTTGTTACTTTTTTTCCTTTTTCAGCACTGGATAGTGGTGCTCAAAGTATTGGCAGGAAGTTTATTAAATGGTTTCTTGTAGGGACACAGTGATCTTCTATTTCTTAATTTGGTAATGATACTGTTCTTTCTTTTTCATTATTATCATTTCGAGTGATGTTCAATGTGCCCATTGGTATGCTCTTAGATATGCTTTGAGTCAGCCTCAAGAATTCAAATTTGTTTTGCTGCAGTAATTTTAGGATAAGAGAGTTTTCATTAGAAATTGTGGCCATTTGTGTGTGGAGTCATTTATCCGTGTGCTGCTTGGAATGGTCCATTATTGTTGCTTCTCCCAGTATATATGTTAGATGTTAACCAATACTTGCAGAAAATGTGGGAATAGAAGATGAGGTACCTCTAGAATGAAGGGTGGAGTTGCTTTTGGAGTTCCAATAAATAACCTGCCTATTGCAACCATTATCCTCCGTTCATGAATTATGTTCTTTTGCTTGTGGAGCTTTAAAGGTATTTTTTTTCAAGTACTGCCGAGGACTGATTCAAATATAAAAAACGGTAGAATGGGATCTATAAGTGAAAATGGAAGGGCTGGCAAAACTTGAGGGAAACTAGAATTGCTTTTAGTTATGTAGTCTTTTCTTTCAGTTTTCTACTCTCTATCTTTGTTTCCTCTTCTGGCTAAATTGTGTTGGAGATCAGAGAAGCCATAGAAAGATTTTTCATGGAGTAGAGGATGAATTAGCATTTCATTTTGGGAGGGATGAATTCTTTTAGGGGAAGAAATAGGATAATTCTTCCTAGCAAGCAAGTTTGGAGATCTTTTGGCAGAATGAGAACATGAGAAATCATCATAACATGTATTCTGGTTTCAGGACTGAGGTTGAGCTCCTTGCTTGTGGCCTATTTTGGGGGAGAGTTTAAAATTTTTATTATCCTGAAAGTCTACGAATTACGAGATCAAGTATGTATTTGGAACACATTTGGTGCTGGGAAGAATACTAGGTTGTGCTGCCAGATCACCACAGGTTACTGGACGCAAATTGGGTGAGGTTCATTTCTTATTAGTCTGATGGATTGACTTAAAAGATATGTGATCAAGATTCTGGACCATGTCTATTGGAGGAACATTTATGATTGGGGCATAGATGATTATATAGATAATGCATTGCCCAATATGTCCCTCCTACAGGGTGTTAGGAGAAGAAGATTGGAGACCTACTTAACCTTTTGCAACAAGATTAGATGTTTCTACTAAATGCTGTATTCCATCTAATTAATCCTATTCTGCAGTCTATGTCCACTTATGGGGATGCTAGGAGGGGAAGATTACAGACATACTTAACCTTTTACAACAAGACTATATGTTTCTACTACCTTCATCGGTCTAGGACTGATCATTAAGTGTTTGTGTATGAAAGAACACACGACTTCCGTAAAAGTGTCCGTACAAAGCTCTAGAGAGACTCAGGTTCAACTTTTAAGTCTATTCATCTGCATTTATACTCCCTTTCTATTTATATACTCACACTTACTTCTGTTTGTTCATTTTCCCATCCACTTGCGAGAGAGGGTTGCACATGAGGGAGGGCATGAGAGCTTGTTATACATTGTTTGGTCCTTTCCGTAACAGTTTAAAAGTGTTGGTCTAGTAGTTATATGTTATGTGTGTGTATTTATATATTTGCTACATTGGTAGTTTAGAAATCACACTATATTACTTACAACACACTGTAATAAGGTTATTTCTTTAGTTAAAGGCTTTCATTGAAGAGGAGAAACCTTCACTTGTTAAGTTATCTGGGTCGAGATCTCTTCTATCCTCTCAAAGCCTCCATTTTTTCCTTTATTTATTTATTTATTTTGTTTTTGACCTTTTCTTTCTTATTTTATTTTATTTTATTTTTCCTCCCCTCTTTTTGTTCGAGCATCATGTTATTGGCCATTGGTAGGGCATGTGATGCTTGTGGCCTTCGGCCCAGGTTCGAATCCCCAGCCCATCAATTGTTAGTTGCTTTAACTTCCAAAAAAAAAAAATCATTTCTAGCCTCCACTTGTCCATATTCACATTTATACACGACCATCCTCTGATAACATGTATTTTTCATGCGGTTGGCCTGATTCTATTTTCGGTCTTTTTTGTTGGATTTGAAACAATATCCCTGTTTGATTTTTAAGGAATTTTTAAACTCCAGGTTTGAACACAAGTTTTCGTGTAAATGTTTGCATCATGTAATGTGATATATAAAATGATCCTTTTTTTTTTTTTTAAAAAAAAAAAAAAAAAAAAAAAAATTATTTCTTTTCATTCTTGAGGTAATATGTGGGATCTTTTTAGGGCTTGAAGATGAGTTTTTATGAAGTTCCGTCACTCCAGTGACGTGGAGCTCCCTTAATTGTAGTATTTCTATAATATCAAATACAGAAAAGCACATATAAAGACCAAGGAACAATCTCATAGATGTAGATTCTATGCGGGTCCAAGGCTCCTGGCTTGATTTCCTCTTGACTGAGAACCTGAAACTATTCAATTAACTCTGTCATAATTCTGAAGTACTTGAAAAAAAGAAGAGTATAAGTAAAGGAAGAAATACTATTATTCCAGCTACATACTTAGACATTGAACGGATACTTTTATTTCGACATATATTCTTGGTTATTTTCACTAGAATTTTGAGTAGCCATGGTACTAAAGCTGCCATAGTGTACATTCACTTTTCATCATTTAGAAATGACAGAACTCGTGTGTTCTGATGGAAAATCAGGAAAGTGAGTCTAAGTATATAATGTTGATAAGATATTATGTTTGTGATTGCAAAGTTAATTTATTTTGTCCATTTCTTAAAATGAGGCATTGCAGAAGTAAACAGGTAATAGCTTCCCAGCATTTTCAATAAGTTTGAAAATGTATTTCCTTACTTTTGTGCTTTGAGGAAAACAGGGGGGATTTTCCATTGCCATTTCAAAATTTACTGATCCCAAGGGACTACTTAATGTTTGCACTGGAGGTTCCTTTTCAAGTTGGATACTCTGTACCATATTTCTGTAGAATGTTATTTTAGCTTTACATGAGTTTTCATATTTTTCAAATGTATCTTTAGGTTTAGATGGTAAAGATAAGGTAGAATGGTAAGGGAGCATATAGGGGCAAAAGGAATGGGCCTTATAGTAATTTGGTTCTCACTTTATTTGCAGAAATCAAAAATGAATTACCGTGCGTGGAATCACCGTTGCTGGTTAGTTTCCTACATGTCAAGAGGACAGGTCAGTTTCTAAAAATTTCCAATCGTGCAAGCATTTTGTTTGTTGCAGTACTTTTCGGTGTCCATTTTTAATTCCACTCAATGTGAATGTGTTGGCCTTCATATTCTTACAGGAATTAACTACTCCAGTTTCCCTACTTTTAAACGCGTCTAATTTGTGTTCATTTTCAGATTTCAATCATTTTTTATGTTTGTTTGCTGTGTCTATATCAATGTGTGTGTTTTGTGGCGTGCACACATGCTTGGAGTCATACTAATATATGAAACTAGCCTTAAGTCACTTTATGCGATTCTCGTGCACTAAATGGATGTAGTTCCTGCACATTAGGTGTTGCATGAGTTAAATAAATCAAGAGATTGGGCTGGATTACACGTTGCTGACAACTCTTGTTTTCACTATCGCGCGGTGAGTTCCCCTTTATTTCATCATAAAGTATCTCTTTCATAGAAAAAATCACTTAATTACTGCATAAATTTGTGTAAATATATTTGTTGTGTAGCCATGTGATCAGTGTATCCCTCTAAGATTGAAAGGCAAGTTATTATGTGTATAGGACAGAATGTTTGGCAGCTAAGAAACAACATATGCACAATGTGAGCAGGAAAAAAGTAAAATGTTGAGATGGATGTGAAGCAAGACAAGAAAAGCTAGGATTACAAATGAATACATACGGGAGATAATTGAAGTAACACCTATTGGAGATAAAATGAGAGAAAATCAATTAACATGTTTTGGACATGTGTAAAGAAGACACAAAATGAACCAGTTAAACCATTGGGCACTAGCCTAGATGGTATGAGCTCTCCTTCCCAAGGGGGAGGTTAAGTGTTCGAGTCTCATTAGGGACAAAATATAGTGGATGAGTGTGAGTTTGCTTGAACTTCTGAAAATAAAATAAAAAATTGAATCAGTTAGAAAGAGTGACATGGTCCAAATTTAGGGTAATATTAGGGGAGGAGAAGATCTAAATTAACATGGATAGAGTTAGTAACAATAGGCATTTCTCGATTTTATCGATTGAGACTATGATAACGTGTGGTTTGATGAGAACACAAAAATAGGATTCATGAAGCCAACACGATGAGTTGGGAACAAGCTTTGTTTGTTATTGCTGTATGTGTTGTAGCGAGTTTATAAAAGGTTGTCAGAAAATGCCTCCAATTATGTTTGTGGAATTGCTTTGTAATTTCAGAGTTTTTGACTATGATATGTGTGTATCATTATAATCATCTTTCAGACCTCATCGATATAATTTGGATGTTGGTGCATGATCATGTCTAGCCAAAACACCTTTTATTTTTCCCAATTATTTATGGGTTTTAGCAATTTTTGGTCAATGTGGAAGTTCATTTCATGCTAGGCTGCATGTCAAAGGGCTATTACAATTTATTATGCAATTTCAAGCTGAATCCAAGGCCATAGCAATTGACATTGGGCATGCTCTAGTTTATGATTCACAGAAAAGCCCTCAGATGCTGTTATCACCCTTATGCATAGCTACTGCTCCTTTATTTTCCTTCATCTCAGGTTTGGATAATCAATCATAGTTTTTGATACACATCCATTTTTATATTTCATTTTGGCCATTACTATTATGGTACATATTACTCCTCTCTGTAGAGACAAATTAAAACCTAGATCTACCAAAAATTTATTGATGCTGATGCCAACTGAGCTATGGCTTGTATTTGTTTGTCAGACTTTGTTCTTGGAACAATAATAAACCTGAAAAATAAAAAATAAAGAAATGAAAACCACAGATCTAGAGAAGAGCATAAAGGAAAGCGAAAAATGCTTAACATCCGTGTCTCTGTGATGTGCATTTACTCTGAGCTCTGCAAAATAGCAAAGAGGACAAGCTGTATGCAGTTATTTTGGTGCTGTTGCTACCATTTTTTTTCACAGTCACAGATTTTACTTATTGGCAGCGGTTAATGCTCAGGATGTTAGAGGATTCATGGCATAAACAAGATACAAATGCATGTTCTGGCTGTGATGAAGAACTTCATCGAGTGTGGAAGGTATTCTCTTGTATTTTATTTTTCTTTAGTTTCATTGCCAAATATCTTCCGGTTTTTCTGCAACAAGTCTGCTACATGCTTCTATATCATATACGTCTCTGCATGGTGCTTGTGTATGTGGTGATTTCTGTTGTCAAAATGCTAAATTCCCTTCAAAAGTAGCATACCTGCCCTTGTCTATAATACTCTGTCTCTAATTGCTTTCGAATTTGCATAGCCACGCCCCTAGGAACATACGAGACTTGTTCCTCATTCGAGCTTTCTCAAAAACTTACCAAAGGAAAAAAGTTTGCTTCCTCTAAAATTCCTTAAGTGCTTCCTCCTTGATGAGTTCTGGTTGTTCCTTTGAAGTTTGGGGTATTTCTCTGAAAACATTGTTCATTGTTATATAAACTATGTACAATATGTTACTGTAGAAGCTTGAAGAGCCTTTATTCAGTTTGAATTTTGACCTCATAACGACTCCCACTCTCTCTACCTTCAACGGTTAGCTTATCATTACTTATAAAAGAAAAAGAAGCCCCTAGCTTGACCATAGCGAGAAAAGAGGTTAGGCTATTATTATGTTTCTGAAATCACAAAATGTACATGTAAAATAGTAACAGAAAAATAATATTAAAATTTTCATGAGTTGATAATTCTTTTAAGCCCCGGCGAGTTGTCTAATGTTTCATTTATGGGTTGTAAAACCCCAGTGTGGATGTGGATGTTGGAGTTGGATTATGAAAGTGGTACTCAGATGGATTCAGCAAATCCAGAAAAACAAAGATTTGTTTAATCATGTCATACTTGAGCAGTATGGTAGATCACAATCGACTTTATTAATTGGTTGAAATTAAATAGTTTTTGTTTTACAGGTTGCATCTCATGTTTGTGAGCCTTGGCTTATTGCTTCTAATAATGCCACGTTAGTCACGCCAAAGCTCTTGTAGTACAATTACATTTTGGCATGGATTGGTCATGGGTGGGATTATGGGTTTCGATCATTGCCACTGAAAAAAGAAAAACATATAAAGTGCATTTAGGGATAGGCACTATACATAGATTACGATACATCATGATTATCGTGTTGATTTTGTCAAACAATAGAAGAATAGGCAAGAATCACGTTGGAGTGTCTCAATAATTTTCAGTTCAAAATGATACTAGACTTTCTTAAAATGTTCAGAAAAATCATATATACCTGTTACAATTAAATTGTTAAAGATATATGGTATAAAATCCCTGCTCTTTGACATTCTAGCATGCACTAGTTAATGGGTTTTTATTGATTAATTACTTGTTCATTGCAACTTACACTTTTGTCTCCTTGCGCTTTTAGAAACTCTTTCAAACTCATTATCTTGATTGTGTGATATTATATGGGTGTCACAGGAAGAGCTCGAATGGGATGAGAAGTTGATAAAGCTTTACATAGGGAGAGAGGTATCTGGGTTTACTATAGCTCTTCTACTTTTCAAGTACATCATAGTTAGCAAACCATTCACATTATCAATTTATGTGATGGATCCAGAAAGCATTCTAGTATTTTGACATTTCCACACGGACAAAATAAGATTGGTTGTTTACTGATATTTATATAATCTTTCCAATATATTACTCATAATGGCCTTGGACCCATGGCGAGGAGCCATGGAATCATAAAATAGTTGACATCCATCAGGTAAAGCACTCCTAGAATTCAGTCTTTTGCGCAGACCATGAGAAGCAAACCTTGCAAAATGCCTTATTGGTGTGCATTGGTGGGGACAAGTTCTCATTGGTCATAGTTGTATTTTTCTGTTTCTTGAAGTATACTGGATAAAGCGCCTGTCAATTTCTTGCTCTCTCATGTTACAGCAGTCCCGATAATACATCCGAAATATTACAACCCTTTTATGATTTTTTGATGCACATCATTTGTGAATTTAGAGATGGGGCCTAAATGCACTTCTGCAGAGAAAGGCACTTGTTGCACCGTGACACCCATCTACAGGTTTATTCCAATAATCCTTTATCATGTTTGTCTTTGGCAGTCCCTTTGGCTTCATCGCCGCTTCCTTTTGCTGGTTTGGATAAAGCATTTTGCAACCGATCGTAGTGTTTCCTGTCATCTTGATCGTATAACTAGCCTAAGTCATAACATTTATACCATAATGGATAATGAAATGCAACTCTTCCGCTCCTGCTCAACTGTTCTAAATAATGACTTCGAAGATTTCCAAGCACAAGCGACGCTTTCTGCTACTTATATCTTGTGGTTGACAAAGGTAAATATAATTTCTTTAGTTCTGCTTGCACTTCTTTTACATAACTGAATCTAAGTCTTGGTTGTATCCTTGTGTCATCAGCAAATCTGCGATTCTTTCGGGTTTGATCTTAAAAAGAAGTTGCAAGTGGAACTAAAGATACACCTGATTAAGGTATGCCCGGAAAAGACCTTCCTTTGGGATTCTTTAGTGGGCTTATGTGAAAGCATATAATCCTTGTATTAATATAAACTTGACCTCTTCCTAAGTAAGATCATCCTCAGGTTTTTAGCTTTTTCTTTTTCTTTTTCTTTGCTCTGTTGGGAATGTAATACGCCTATTGGTGTCATGTAATCTCCAAGTTATAAATGGTAAGAATTTAAATTGTTTCGCTGTTACCATTGGACTCTCATGAGGTCATGTCATACGCCCACAAAATTAGCAAAATGTGATCAAATATTTAACCCTCCGGTTTACTCTACGACGTGATCATGCTGAATATCATGCTACGGTGAAAACCCATTTCCTGTCAGTCTGAAAATGGTCTTGGAAGTTGAGTTCGAATCTACTTGTGTGATTAAAGCTTGATTTCTTCGAACAGATGGTAAAGATACTGTGAGAGAAAACTTCTCATGATCAACAAGTTAAAAAAGATATCTTGCATATCTTAATAGAAGTCTGCCCTCGGGGGAGAAACAAGATGAAAGCCACGGAGGCAGGCGCAATTTTTTAGCTTGTTGAAGATTGGGTAATCCTGAGAAGGTGTCTGAGCTCGTATTGTGTGTTTTGGCTCACTTGTGTTCTTGTACTGATGGAGAAGAACTTGAATGCTCCCGGTTTTGTGATGAAATGGTTTCACACACTAATTATGCACTGACACGTAAATAAGAAGGCATCTATTTTAGTGGGCCGTATCATTGTATGTTAGTGTATGATTAGTGCATGATACCATGTCATCACTGCATCTAAAGCAGAGAGCAACTTCAAAGGCACACCAACGACATTGGCATGGTGTCGAGAAGGAAAAGGTTCGTGAGAATCTCTCCAACAAATATGATGATAGGTGTCACAGGGGTAAATTCTGAACACGAATCTAATGGCTTGTGATGGCACTAAGCCAGAAATATGAACAACTTTTCTCTGAATATCTAACTTAGCTCAGCCAACTCATACTTGCTGCCTAGAACACACAGCAAGTAAAACACTCTCACACACAAGTATAATTGCAAGAATGTAAGGATAATAACACTCACGAATTTACAGAAGCACAAGGCTTCCAACCTTTTACTATTATTCACAAAACAATACAAGGAAATGTCTCAACCTGCAGAAGTATACAAAAGTCTCTCACAACACAATTCTGTGTCTCACTCCCAATCTGTCCTTTCTACAGAATCCACATTAACAATATATAGGCAAACTCTCAAAACTGCCCACTAAAGTGGTGGATGACATCCCCATCCACCTAGGGTCGTGCTGGCACCTTCTAAGTGTGTTAGCACTGCATATGCAGTTGACAAGCCCAACTGCTAGCTTGTTGGCACGCTCTGCTCATGTCACATGCATGGGAAGTTACTGAGCACACCTTCACTCCCCATAATATATGTACATGAGGGGGAAGTGTTAGTAACTTTCCCCAACCAACTGAGCCCACTTAGCCATTTTCTGTAACCATCAGCATAGTGGAGAAAACCGACTCCAACTGCCTATGCCACATGCATGGAAAGTTACTCAGCACACCTCCACTCCCCAAAATGAATGGAAAGTGCTAGTAACTTCCGCTAACCAACTGAGCCAACTTTGTGAACCTAGCCCGTGCCAAGCCCACTAATCTGTACCCATATATAAATGTCTCAAAGTGCACGGCGTGCCAAGTCATGCACGCCTGTGTGCACGTCCGAGTGCACGCCTATAAGCGAGCTGCTGCACTCTGGCGCGTATGACGGTGCTCATCTATGCGCGCCATGCCTGAACGCCCGTGTGCACGCGACTGCACGCCCGTGCCCACACCGGGTTGAACCCCTGCCCGTGCGCCCGCCTAGTATAACCATCTTGTTTGCCATTCGGTAGTTTGGATGCTCTCCTCTTGTGTAACCATCTTGGAGTGGTGCAACACGTGCCCATGCATGTTGGCTAAGCCCTCTAAGCAAGCCATGCCATAGCCCAACTGATGTGCTCAACAGACCCCTCCCTAGTATAGTTCTAAGGAAAATCAGCACTCTGACAGGAGTAGACATCACATATGCTTGAGGAGTCATAATGGCCTTTCAGACTCTTCCCGACATCCAAATCGAGTGCTGTCTGCGCCAACCATTTTTTATGGACTCAACGTACCTCTCATAAAGATCTCGAGCCAAAACTCTAAACTTCACTTTTCGCCATATTTACAAAAATGCCACTGGGCACCCCCAGTGCACGCTGACAGCATCCCATGGTTGTCAGGGGGCTTGTCAAGGTCCTAACCCCGTAACAATAGGAGAAATACTTTATTATTCCGGTTGTAGTGACATGGTATCATGAACTGATTAACTATTAACACTTAATGATATGTTTTATTGAAAAAAAAAAAAAAAAAAAAAAAAAAAACAAAAAACATTTTATGACAAGATATAATTAATTGATGGCACGGGTCACAAAGTATACCAGGGCAAGATAATCTCTCTTACTGGGTGATTCACATGCATATGATTTCGAGGTAACGGTAACCTTTTATGCCTGTCTTTCTTTCTACCATATTTGAAAAGAAATAACTTCACACCGGGTATAAAAGGTGCTTAATACATTTTTAACTAAATAGCCATTTTATTTGGGCTCCACATAATTTTGGTTTGGTATAACTGTCACATGGAAAACAAACAAATGATCTTACACATATCCACATAATTTTGGTTAGGTACAACTGTCACATAGAAAACAAACAAATGATCTTACACATATACTTGAGACATTTTTAACTACTGAACTACATGAATCCACACCATCATATTAAAAAATGAAATTACTTTTAACACCAAATTACTTAAGCTCCACTCCACTTCAGACGTGCCTGCCACATAGAAAACAAAGAAATCCTAAAGAACCACATGAACATTTCAAATCCCATTATTGTTTTACTTACGTTCCAGGTTCCAATTCTTTCTTTCATCCACGTGCGGCATTTTCCTGATCCTTAAATCTTTAATGTTAGGAAGTGTGAAGAAAATAACAACCATGGAGTTTATACACGGTGAATAAATATGATTGAAGTATTTAAATATTAAAGTTATATTATCTTGAATAGTTTAACTTGATATTAACAGGTAAAGTTTTGTGTATCAAATTTTACTATAACTCTAATGTATCAAATCTTACCGTGACTCTAATAACTAAAATAGTGAGCTACTTAGCCCCTATCTTGCAAAATATACATCAAATTGCTTTGCTTAAAATGGAAACAACTTTTTTATACGCGAGTTAGATTGCACGTGCATCCGACTCTCCTTAGACTCCGCGAAAGTCTCGAGCAAAAATAAAATATGAACTAAAAACACCTTATAATTAATTTTTAAATTTTAGGGTAAAATGCTTAGATACTCCCAAGGTTTGCCAGATTAAAGTGATGAAAAAAAGCCTAAACAGCCCTTCTGTAATTTTAGCTTTAATTAGTAGGACATTTATACAATCACATCTTATACATGAATTGGCGGTATATGTACTCTTGAAAAAACAATTGGTTTTGTTTGTTTGCCAAGAGAAACTGGAAAGGGTAAAAAAATGATCTATCTACAGTCTCCCAAATTTTTCGTCATTTTAGCTCACAAGCAAACAGAACACCGAACAACTAAATTGATATAGAGATTCTACAAAACTCCATTAAATTTTTTAAAAATTAAAACCAATTTGCAGAAACCTAATCCAATGTAATAAAAAAATGTAAAAATTTTTGTAACCCAAGAAATAAAAACTAATCAACCCACCTTCAAAATCTAATGAAAAGCCTCTCTTCTGACACCCAAATCTAATCCCCTAGTTCTTAATAATATCTTGAGATAAAAAATTTTCTTTCAACAAAACTCCACTAAACCCGGAATCCATTCTCTCCTAATCGAATAAATTTCACACAAATATGCAATATATACCTTGCATGCAAATATATATACACATAATATATATATATATATATACACATAACATATATATATATCTATAGTATATTATGAGAGTATCAATGCGAAAAGCGAGAACCATCCGGGAAAAGCGAGAACCATCCGGCAAATGTCAGGTGCCTGCCCGTGAATATAAATAAGAGTTATGAACATGATTCGTCGTATAAGTCGATTCATAACTCTTTTTCGTGAGTATGATACCTTTAATCAGCAAATTTATTTTGATATTTGTTCGAATTTGTTACACCACAATCGATCCAAATCATGTAATCATACCAAGTGGTGTCATTAATATATCTAGCACAAAATTGGAAGAATATTAAATTAGGAAATAATAAAAGGATCAAGGTCCCAAGTCAAAAAGTATGCCCAAATCAAGTCTAGTTATAAGTTATTCCAGCTCAAATCTTCAAGGGCTTAAATCCTCTCAAGTGAGTTACCACGTGGTCAAGTGTGCCACTACAATTAAGAAAGTACTTGATTTTTTTTCAAATTCTCTGTTAACCTTAATCCCAACTAAAATAATAATGTTATACTCTAAAGGTTTGATACCGTTCCTATAATTAACCAAATTCTATGCGTCCAACCAATCTAAGAAATCGTCATCTTCTTATAATTAGATTCGTTACTGAATATATATTTCATGCACTCATATATGCTTGGTCACTTTAGCCCCACGCTTCTCTTCAAGGCAATACACTCACCCTAGACACTTTTTGTTTAGAAATGAGATTCCACTGCTTTATGTAAGCATCTCCTCCTTAATTAATGGCTAGAATACGTTACAATCAACGTTTAAGATTTACTCTCAAAAAATACTTCTTTTAATATTTATAATTCTACCTTACCCTTTACCTATTTAGAATGTTATATATTATACACAATACTATAATTTTATATAATTCTCAATACTCAACAGTTCTATACATAATTATGTAAAACTTTAGAATCATATTCTCTACACATATCAAATAGAGGTCATGAAGAGTTATGGCTCATGAAATGTGTTCTATATTCTACGCATGTTCTCATCGCTCACGTGGCGCAACCCTTTTTGATGAGACGAGACAATGAATTATATTTGTTACAATACCTCAATAGGATCGTATAAACTGTTTGTTAAAAGTAAATTACTTTAATTTTTAACAAGTAGTACTAATAATATAAAAGGAGCTGATATTGGCGCTCTACCATTCTCCTCGAGCACTCCACTCCTTTTGTTTGAAATAAAATTACAAACAAATTCCTAAATT